GTTAGGTTTACGAGTAAGAAGTTTGTAAGAAATAAGTTAGTCGGAAGAAATTTTCATTATACGGAAGTTACTTTCAGCAGTTTAGGCAGGTAGATTATTTCTGGGGATGGGAGAAATAAGGTATCTAAATATCGGGCTAAAGTTTTTATGCGGGATCTCAGTATAACTGAATTTTGGAGAGGTTTTTTTTATTTATCGATAGAAGTAGCAGTGAAGAACCGAGAGTGGAGTATTTTTGAATTGGATGTTTTTGGTTATGCTATGACTGGATATCTTGGTTGTAATTGTTGTTCTTTCTAAAACTTGAGGTTCACCTTATGATTGAGATCCTCACTGTAATGGCATTTTCGTTACATTTGGCAGTATACTTGTTTAAAAATAGTAGTAGTTGTTTTAAATTTTATATTATTTGAGGTCGTATAAAATTTTTTTTGGAATTTATTATACGTTGAAATTTTTATAGGTCGTTTGAAGAACTTGTTTGTAACATAATTTGATGGTGACTTTAGACTCGTTAGTATTTCAGAAGTTTTTGGTGGCAAAGTTATCAGAAAAGGTTTATATCAAGGGTTTTGCATGTGGACGAAGTAGAGAGGAAATATCTGCAGCGTCACAGTAGCAAGAAAATTGAGTGGTGAACTGGGATTTTTACATGGCTTGTCTTTGTGGTGAGTTTTTAGGTAGACATTTCCTTCTGTTGAAGATAGTAGCAGTAGGAATGTAAAAACGGATTAAACGGCACACTTCAATTGGGAATTTATTTCAAAGGTAATTCAGCATGTATACAATTAACTGTATTGAGCCATTGCAGGAGTAAGGCTTTCAGAAATCCTCTACAGAGGATGTTTAATCATTTAAGTGGCAGGAATTGTACGAAAACCAATTGAACTCTTAAAAAATTTTCTACTGCTAGCAGCTATATCTGCTGTGTAATTCATCCTTATCGTTATCGCTTCTTTGTAATCTAGTGTTTCTGAATGCAAGAGATTGAAGGAGTACATAAGCGATAATATAGGTTCACTTGTTTTACTTTTATCATTATTTTTATTTTCTTTACTTTACTTCGTTTTACTTTATGGGTATGAAATCTTAGTCGTTCCTCTTGTTAAAATTGCAACAATAACTGCCCTAAGGCGAAACAGCCGATCGGCCACACACACTGAAGCAAACCAGCATTCAGGAATCAGAGATGTGAAAAATCATACAGTCAGAAGTCTTGGTCTGGGCTTCAATAACGGTCATGATAGTTATCATGAGGGTGTATCAACTAGCCAGCAAAGGACATAAATGAAAAGGGGTAGCACAAACATGCTAGGTGTATTTTTGTTTTAATTAGATAAGTTTCACAACAAGCCTTATTGGACGGCTGCAAAATGTAGGGCAGAATATTAACCGAGAGGTAATTAAACTGCTAATTGAAAAAGGTCTGCTACTATGCGTTTTCATGAATTTGAGCGACTGGGCATTTGTAAAAGCTGAACTTGGTAAAAGTAAGTCAAAAAAAGAGGAAGTTGTATATGATTCTAAGTAGATATATACGCATAAGGAAGAGAATACTTGAGATACTTGGAAGAGAAGTACTGCCTAAGGTAAAGATGTCAATAAAGGAAGAGTAGGATAAGAAACGATCTGCGTCTTTGTAACAGCTCGAATTGACAACTATGACCTGCTGCAGTACAGTACGTCATGACTTACCGATTCCTTGACCGTTTTCAAGAACAGTCAGCAATCCAGGTTAATTCTGCAGAACTTCTAGCCCTTTGTCGCCGAAAGGCGAAGATAAGGCACTTCCGGAAAGCCCGAGAGCAACCGATATGATTTGTCAGGAAAACACTGAAAAAGAGGGTCCGATCTTGACATTTTCAGTTTTAAACCCGGCGAGGAAGAAGATTAAGCAAGGAATGATAATCCGCTTGAGCAGGCTATATAAGAAAGTCCACGCATGAACAGGAGGAAGGAAGGAGTGATCCTTTTTTTGTTTTATGTTAGTTTTGTGATTGGTTTTGTTTATATTGATGAATTGGCGTCTTTATACTGTTTTTTATATTATATAAAGGGTTTAATTACCCAATTTTGAGACCCGCGTGGCAGGAAAATTTGGTGACAGACCGACCAAGAGAATTACCGTGAACAGTTATTTAACAAGAAAGAAAAAGTCAAAGGAAACTTTTTTGCTTCATACCCTTTTTATTTCTTCAATAATTGTCACTTTTAGTCTGGAAGTATCTATCTAGTTTACAATATTTTTCGTATTTATATGGCATTAAATCTTTTAGGTGAACTTTAAGTTTTCGGATATCCTCAGAGACCTCTGTCGAACATCGACCACTCGTTGGTTACATTGTTACATTTTGGTCATTTTGCGCCCGCATTTTTGTCAGGTTTGTGAAGCAGTGTCTGCTGCTTTACCTCCTCGTCGTCCCATTGGAAGTCATCATCTCCCACAGTCCGCGACGCAACACCAAAACTATACTACCAGCGTAATTAGCCAGGCACTGGTGGCATTAGGACCCAGAACTTTTGCGTATAATCGCTGCAGAAGTCGAACGAACCCTTCAATAGCTATAGCGGGGAAATCAAGAATTATAAAGCAGTAACTGGCATATACGAGCGCATAACAATAGTGAACCTCATTCGTCAAATGCCATTCTGACTTGTAAAACTCTAACGAGTGAGTTGAGCGGTTTCAGACAGACGTTAAAAGGCTCAGCGGAAAAGTTTTAAACTGAAGCAGTTTACAAAGAAATGACACGAAAAATACCTATTACTTTCCAGGGTGGTTTTTAGAATTTCTCACGATCAAGATTATGTTAAAAACTCATTTTTTTGTATGTTGTTATTACGAATATCACAACTGATAAGCTTCTAACTGAATCACTAAAAAGTGAAGAGGGAAAAAGAAAGGTGAAAAAGAGTAGCGAAAAATCTGTTAAACGAGTGAAATAAATTTTAATCCGAAATCTCTGAGTAATTTTGCTTAAGAACCGATCTAGGCTTGTCGAAAATGTTAATGAACAAATAATGTGACTGTCAAACACTTTCTGTAGACAAATTTATTCTATTAAAAGCTGTTTTCTTCCTCCAGTCGACCAAACTTATTGAATTATTTAGTAATCATTCAAGACAATAGTAGCGGTTTACCTCATAATTAAGTTAGCCAAGACAAAGATCATATTATGCAGCCCTGCTAAGTTGCAGACAAATTCGTGGGATCACCTATTGAAGGGATCAGGTTTCCAGTGCTTTCAGAGAATAATAACACCTGGGCCTCTCGCATTACTTATTCGCCATTTAGCTTGCTTTATTCAGCTTTTTCCAATACGTAATTACAATATTTACGCACTTTTCCAAAAATTGCTCACCAAATTATACACCTGTTACACAAAGTTTTTAGCATACTTATTATAAACTTCTTGAAAACGTCTCAGATGTGCTGAAAACGATGTGCATGAGATAGTGCCACTGCAAAAGTTACGGTCGCTTTCTTCAGTGTTATGGTTCATCTACGGTTTTGCATATTTCGAAGTGGCCGTGCTCGCAGAGATATCAGTACCTTTACTACGTCTGCTGCAATGAAGAGGATAACTTTTTTAAGGCAGAAAAACCTGTTTTATAGTAGGAAACACGCAAAATAGTATTTCCCTTAAGGCATACGGTCGACGTTCCTCAATTCCACGTCTGAATGTGAAT